TATGTTGGCAGTTTTAATAATTAATTGCGTTGCAAATTAAAATAGGTTTTTAAGATACTTATTTATATACATACATACTTCATACATACATACTTATTAAACACATATGATGCATGCACTCACGTGGAAATGTTAAGCGTAAAAAGAACAAAATTGCATTGAAAAAAATTATAAAACTCATATTTAACGAAAAAATAAAATAAATAAAACGATTTACAAATAATAAAAAAAAATGTTGCTTTTCATTTGAACGCTTTTGAAGCGCTTTGAGGAAAGTGATACACTGAAGCTGCAACGGAGATCAGACACTTTTGTTTAAATATTTGTGATTTTAATTTAACTCTGCCTTCCGTGAAGTATTTGATTTGATTAAATTTATCACATCGGCGATTTTATTAAAGAAATAAATGTGGAAAAATCTGCTGCAATGTTGCTGGATGAATGGTCCAGCTGCATTTTGCTAGCAACTTTGTTGCACGGAGTTTGCAGCAGCAACAAATGTTGCGCAGCCTATAGCTTCGTTAAATGTGTGCCGATTTCGGTGGACTATAAAACTGCACACTGGAAATTTTTTTTGAAAATATTAACTTATTGACTGCTGGGCATTAAGATAGCGCACCCCTTTGTTGACTATGTTTTTTAATTTGTATAACGGATTTACAGCTGCTAAAAAGGGTGAGCTATTCAAATGACTAGAAGTTACATACATACATATGTATGTAGTAGGTATTTGCCAATCGATATCGACTGCTGAATGCGAAAGCGATCTCGCAGAGGTGTTTTAGGAGCCACTTGATGGATACCACGCTAGTCTATCTATGCATAAATTACCAAACATTTTTCGAATTCCCTTTTTCTCCCCACATTACGCTGTGTTTTTATTTCTTTTACTTTCGATTACATAAGATTTGTGCGTTAAATTAAAACCCAAAAATCAATTTGCTTCACTTAATTGTTTAAAAACACTCAAACAACGGCACACTCCGCACGTCACATGAATTGCAATTTAAAAGATTTTGTTTAAATTCGTCACAGTAAATATTAAATTCAACGCTATGGATTTGTGCTACGAATACTTACCCTTTGAGGTAAGTAAAATAAAAAAGTTGAAGTCGGCACAGTGGGCTTGTGTCGTAAAAATTGCGGATGTAAAATGCAGAAAATATGTCTGTTGTATGTATATTGTGATTATTTGAACCTTTTTTGTGCCACTTCACAGTTTGTTTCATCTTTATACATGTTGCTGCTTGTGCTTGTCGCCCCGCTTATGACTTGAATAGAATTTATAATTTCAGCGGGCGCCCTCATGAAGTACATATTAATTGATTGTCGTCCAATGCAATTCCGGTAGCAAAAACCAGTCTGCAAATAAGTAACGTGTGCGCATGCGTAGCCGGGCAAGTAATCGTATGCAGGGATGTGCTGCTGCTAGTAAGCTACGTAATAATGCAAATTACCGAATATTTATTGTACATACGTATGCACGTACATATGTATTTTAATCTATCTTTAAATTTGAACGAATTCGGCCCCCAGCAATCGGAAGAAGTATTTAATGGGCGGAATGAAAGCGCCGGTGTTTTACAGTAATATGAAACTTTGAAGTGTGAAGTAATCGATCCCAAGTGGTGCTCAATGTTTGGATCCAAAGTAAAAGTGAAAAATAGTATTTATTTATATTTTAGTTAGGGAACTTCGCAAAATGGAACTAAAAGTGAGTGAGTCGAAAGTTATGCTTACAAAATATATTCCAACAAAAAGATATGTATGTAAAGTGAGAAAAATTTTAATTTGCCTTAATTTATTAGTATTAATAGGGCATATTCTTGCTTTCGTAGGATTCGAAAATTGGAAATGTAGAAAAGTGATAGAAAAAATCAAAATTTTCGATGCGTACGAAAACAAGAATATTCCCAAATATTTTACAAATAGAGGGACCTATACTTTTACGCCGCCTCCGAATTGCTGATGGTTTTTATTAGAAGGGTTTTCAAGGTAGGAACACACTCGGAGGTTTCCCATTGTTTGCCGAGGATATTAATTCTCAATAATTTATAAAATCCCTAAAAAATCCCAAGAAAATTCCGTTTATATCTCAAACTCACAGAAGTTTCAAAATGATTTGAAAATTAAGAAAAAATTTCTTAATTATGCTGGATTTCCACTAGGCATTAAATGGCATACATTGTAAGGACAAAGTTGGGCATTACAAAATATTTGTACTATTACATTAAAAAAAAATAGCCATTAAGTTTAATTCAACATGACATTTTTGAAATGACATCAATTTTTTGTAATTTTAATGTCTAGTGGGAATTCGGCATTATAAACAGACATAGTGACTATTTTTTTTTAACGTAATGTCACTAATATTTTTAATGTCCAACTTTGTCATTTGTCATTTTTGCCATTTAATGCCTAGTACATTAAACTCCATTTTTTAATTTTAGTAAATTTTGGTAAAATCGCTTTTGAAAAAAATTACAAGATTCACCTTTCATTCAGATAATTTGTATTCCTTAACATAATAATGAATTTCTCAGGTAAACAAGAATAAAAACATAACACAGCCGCACAAAAAAGGGTAATGTACTTTTGACAGGAATACCTTAACCCCGGCCGTTGACTTCCATCACGTGAGGATTTTGTCCTCACTTCAAGAAAACATGGCGGATATTATTCGACAGGCACGGTTTTTGTGGTTAGAAAAAAATCCTGAGGTTATGAAGTAAAACGAACTTCAGATTCGTGCTCAGCGCATCAAAATACACGTTTTTTGTGCGTGTGTGTCAAAAAAAAGGTGTCATGTACTTTCGCCAGGAATACCCTCCATGAATTTTGATGCGCTGAGCCCGAATCTGAAGTCTGTTTTGCATCATCACATCAGGATTTTTTCTAACCTCACATTGTCATTGTTATTGTCACGACCTACCGAAAAGGTAACAAGGATGTTATGCATCATAGTTTTAGGCGCAAGGGCTAAGACAATATTCATACCATGTGTTTTGTCATTGGAGAGCATTTGATTTTTATAACTTCACCTCAAACAGAGGACAGTTTGATAGGTTGGTGACTTTTGAATAGAAAATTTTTACCGGAAAGAGGATTTATTTTCTAACATAATCTTTTTCTAGCTAGATATTTTTAGTCAAGCGTTTTTCCAATTCATGTATTCCTTCCAAATAAAAGGACCTAGACAGAGGTTTGTCTTAGCGATGACCTCTTTCTTCTCGTGGAAATTCACGAGCTTGTCTACTTTCAATGACCTGTCAGTTTGGCAGTAACCTAATAAAAGATATACATATGTTGACAGGAGCAGTGTTTCATTTAAATTTACCTGATGAAAAATTAAAACTGTCCCCGCACAAACAATTATACTACGAATGTTATTAAAACTCTGCAACAATAATTTTAATTTAATTACTTGACCTTATTATTATAAGACTTCTGATATTCAAAATTTTTGCTTTTTACAAAATCTTTAAATGACTCTGCATCTGCAATTAGCACTTACACTTTAAAATAAATTACTAAAATAGGTATTTCATTCATATTTCGTAGCTAACACCACATCTATGCCCACTATTCGTCATCGGCTTTATATTACTGCTCAGCACAGTTTGCACTGCACTTTCTTCTTCACAAACAACGGTGTGAGTAGCAAATTGATGTACCGCCTAAAAGTAGATAACTATTTATATGCATTCACCTACTAGAAACCACAACTGATCAGTGATCACTGATCTCTTTAATATTTTTTCTCTTGCTTTTATCATTCACATTCCACAGCGTAAAACACACCGCCAGCGCTGATCCCTCCGCAGATGGTTTCTGGAAACGCAATGTCAAATGGAAGTCACGTTGGGTGAAATATTGGCGATCGAAAGCGATCTATGTGCCCGTTTGGAAGAAAGTATGGAGTCCATTGGTGCAAAATGAATGGGTGCCATTGCCAAAAGTGCCACCAGGTTGGGAGGCGCGTAAGGATGGCGTCATCGACAGTTCGAGCAGCAGCGACTGGAGTAGTAGTAGCGGCAGCTCACCGGGGAGTAGCAGCAGCAGCAGCAGCAGCAGCAGTGGTCTGCGTTCGGCTAAGAGCTACAGCGAGTGGGGTGGAGCAAGCAGTGGCAGTAGTCATGGCTCTATTTATAGCGGCAGTAGCAGCGGTAGCAGCGGTAGCAGTGGATGGAAGAAAGGCATCAAGCGTACGCATGTGCGCGAAGTTGCTGTTGAATAGTGTTAGAGAAGATTGTGGAACAGAGAAAATGCGAGCCAAAGAGGATGGTTTAAGAGTTTAAACTTTTCGATATTTATTTGGATATACATACATATGTATGTGTACGAAAATTAAGTATTTATATACATAATTTATTCATTGAAATTAGTTTAGTGTATTTAAAATGATTCCTATGGGATATGTATGAAATTAAAAATAAAATAAAATTCAGAAAAATATTAAAATTTTCTATTTGATCGTGAATCTTTTCTGGATTAATGTAAAATAGTAAAGGTCTGCATCGGAATTCAGTTTGCTTCACAGTGAAGTTTTTTTAAAATATGTATACTACTCATACTCTAACAAAGAGGGCATGGAAGGAAGAGAAGTGAAGATATTGAGCGCTGTATACATAAAAAAAAGTACTCAAACAAATTATGTTCCGAAAAAAAGAGGAACATAAATCAGCAGTACCATGCTGTTAAACTTCCACAAAAAAGATGTTCCTTCACAAGTATTTTTTGAGTATTTTTGGAAGTTTTCGTTTAATGCTACATAATGTTAATGTAAGAGCTGACTCTTATGTTAAATAGCAAACATGGAGAAACAACGTAGGGCACTCCGAATATTTAGCCAACAGCATATTTTTATAAAGTAGCAAGCTTTCCATACGCATACATTTGTTTGTAGAAGATTTTAATTCGTTTGTAGAAGCCTTTGGAAATTCACAAAGTAGAATTTTGGAAATTTAAAAATTTATACAAACAATTTTCTGCTTAGAAATAGAAAACTTGTTACTTCACATGTGTGAGCGCCTGGTATTGGGAAATGAAAATATCAATTTGAAAATAAAAACTGGCCATAAGGACAGGTCGCGGGAAAATGGGCACACATTTTTCGATATTAAAAAAAAATTACATAATATGTACATATGTACATACATAAATCATGTATATGTATGAAAGATTCGAACTTTTTTGCAAACATTGAAGCGTCCGGCCAGAATGTAAAACAATATTTTAAATATATATTGGAATAAAAAGAAAATGTATGTCTTTTCTTAACATTATGTTAAATGCGAACATTTAAAAGAAAAAAGTTCATAAGTATTCTTATACTTCCTATGAAGTTTTCAAACACTACTGAATGCAATCAACATACTCAAGTACTCTGGAAAAGCGGAACAGTGTTTTATGTAGCAGAGCTCTGTTGAGTAACATTGCTCAGTTCCTCAAATTTATGATGTTCTCTTTTTTTGTTCCTATCTTTTTAAGTACTCTAAAATATATGTTCCATTTACTCATGTACACATGTGAAGAGTATTTCTGCTGGTATATTTGCAGTGCTTTATAAAATAGAGACCGCAACGGCTATATCCTTCACAATAAAAATCATAATTTAACCATTAAAATGGAATAAAAAATTTTCCGATAAAATTGAACCGTTTTTTAATGATATTTGTTTCTTCGTTCATACCGCAACGCCGTTATTTTCAGATTTATTTTATTTTGGATTATATAGGACATAAAAATAAAATGAAAATCTAAATTTAACAATTACACAGGCCAACCAAAATGTAAAAAAATTTTGGTGCGAAAAACGTTAAAGCTATTTTAGATAGACTTACAGCTTCCATTAGCTGCAGATTTTGAGAAAAAAACGAGATCAAAGTGTTAAAAAATCGCGTTTTTTGTAATATTTGTAAAACTCTAGCAAAGAAATAACAAGGTGATAGAACCTTCCCCTTAGGCTTAAATTAAGGCTTGAACTTTCGACTATAATCCCTTATAGTCATTTATAAGTATATAGTTTCTTTTATCCCTTAAGAAATGATACAAGTTTCAGGATATGTAGAATAAATGAGGACACAGTGAAGCACATCCCCTGTGGCTGGTTTTGCTAGACGTAGGCTTTCTACGGAGCCTAAAAACGGCTGCCAAAGAGAACGGCTGCTAAGAGAACGGCGATGTTTTTCAACCTTTGTCCTGGTTCCGGAGATTTTCTGATAACGCTATGCACTCAAATGACTACTGCGTAGCCAGCCTAAACTAACTTGCCCAAAGTATGGCCACTTTAGTGACGGATGTCCATGTAGAGCTTAAATTATGAAGGGAGCACTTCTACACTCACCTTATGCAGAATATGGTTAAAAGAGAACTAGACAACTGGAATTTTATTACACTCTGTCCAATCAATAAGAGGAGTGATCCTGCGTTCTTCCCACCATACTTTACAAGGTTCTGTGAGGCGCCTAAAATGTGAAATCTTCACTAAACGTCGAGTATATTTGCTAAAAGAGTGCATAGATCCAAACGTACGCTGATAAATGAGCATCATCGACCTCAAACTTGAACAATACCCTCCGAAACACCGAAAACACTAACAACAGGTGGGTCTAAATTGCTGGCAGTTAGGGTAAACTGTCAAACTATGCGACGGATAAACTTCTGGATTAAGTATACTGCAGATGGTACCCACACGAGTGAAAATCCGCCCACACATCCGGCAGGATTATGGCTTTCGGTGGGTCCTACCATCACTTAACTCATCAGCATTTACGTGAGGGAGTGTCTTTCTGGAGGAGAGATGGGTGCCAAAACCACGTCAGAGCCGGACCATACGCTTACAACGGGAAATGAGTCGGGAAAAAGGTATCTGCTAACGAATGCTCAGACAGGGGAAATCTCTTGTGGGGTTGCAAGCTACTACACCTCCAAGAGACCATTGGCTATGGATGCTCCAAAGTCAAAATAAGAGTCTGGTGGTTTTTGGCCTTACTGGCTCCCCCAAGTGTTCTCTCGAAACGGGACAATGGCACTGTAAAAGATGTTAGCGCCACTGCAGAGCGCAAGAACGTGGCATAAGTTGGGCCGGAGAGGGCGGGTTTCACTTTTGTGCCCTTCACACGAAGTCAGGGATGGAACAAGACGGCCTCGCCAAAACTGGTTTCTTGCGTCACGGCTGCTCTGGTTCTAACCGAGGTCTCTGGTGTAGTGAGTGTGGATGACCTTCTATCTATGCTAGTCCAATAGTCTCCTAATATTAAGAATGAAACACATTTAAATTTTAGTATGGATTTTGGTATAAAAAAAACTTTACTTTATTTTTTCATTGGATCTTACAACAACGTTGCCACTAACTTAAAACTAATCAAACATAATTAGTTAACTGTAACAACTTAAATATAAATTACTTATTTATATTTACTTGTTATGGTTGTTGTGGCATAAATAATTTAATTTAAATTATACGAAATGTGTGGAGAAGGCCGATTTTGATAGCAGCGAAAACTGGAAGAATAACTCTCCAATGGGTGGTAGTAGAGTAGCGCACTAAAACTAAATGAATTTAAATAAATTTTACACATTCATTATGACTTGTGCAGTGACTTAAAAACTAACGACTGGAATACATATTTACAATTACGAGTACAAAAAGCAATGCGCGTGTAAATGAAGTGGCGGAGTGTGATGCTTTCAAAAAGTATGCATGACTGTACTTGCATCGAAGCCTAACATAAATTTATATCTGCAAATAAATGCTGCTTTGCGTGTTTGAGAGGAAGCGTGCTTGCAGGTAATTCACATATCAAAATGGCTGTGTTGCTCAAGAAATTCCCCACTCATCTACGCGCCCGGAAACTTGAAGCCTTGGCCTTGCGCTGCTGTTGCTGCTACCGGCTGTGTACCCACTGCAGGGGATGCCTTCACTTCAGCCGATTTTGCTGTCCGAAAATCAGCTGTGGCGACTGGTTTCAGCTGCGTTGCTTTCTCGTCGCGTTTCCACACCAACTTATTGGCGCCCTCTCCCTGCGCATCCTTACGATCCCAGCCGTGCTCCGCATGTTCGTGATGATGCTCGTGATGATGATCGGGCGTGGGGAACCACTCGGATATGATCACCGGCCGCCAGATCTTCTTCCAAGCGGGCACCCAAATTTCCTTCCAGCCTGGCACCCAAATTTGTTTCCACGCTTCTTTCCATTCGAGTTTTTTGTCCTCAACCCAGATTTGTTTCTTCGCCGGCTTCCAAATTTGCACCCAAGCCTCTTTCCATTCGAGTTTCTTGTCGGGTATCCAAACGAGCTTCTTGGCTGGCTTCCAGATTTGTTTCCACGCTTCTTTCCATTCCAATTTTTTGTCGTCCACCCAGATTTGTTTCTTCGCCGGTTTCCAAATTTGCTTCCAATCTGCCTTCCATTCCAATTTCTTGCTGGGCACCCAAATTTGCTTCTTCGCTGGCTTCCAAATTTTCTTCCAATGCGATTTCCATATCAGCTTCTTCTTCCACAAATCGTGACTTGTGTATTCCCAGCCTTCGGGATCTTTACCCAAATACTTTTCACCAGGTATGCCCACTTTGATCCACTCAGGCGTCCAGTATTGCTTCCAGTCGGGCACTTGTATCTCCTTCCATGCCGGCACCTGTATTTCTTTCCAGACGGGCACCCAAATTTGCTTCCACGCCGGCACTTGTATATCCTTCCATGCTGGCACCTTCGTCGGCACCCATATGGGTTTCCAAATCTTCTTCCAATCCGGTACTTGTATCTCTTTCCATGCGGGTACTTGTATCTCCTTCCATACTGGCTTCCACACCTGCTTCCACGCTGGCACTTTTATATCTTTCCAGGCGGGCACCTTAACCGGCACCCAGATGGGCTTCCAAATTTGCTTCCACGACGGATTCCAAATTTGTTTTTTCGCTGGTTTCCAAATCTTTTTCCAACCTTCCTTCCAAGTGACTTTCTTCTTCCAAAAGCCCGGATCATGGTGGTGCTCATGATGATGATCGTGCACTTCATGTACTTCGTGGTGAGCATCGTGATCCCAGCCGATGCGTTGCTGGGCGACGGTGACGCTGCTCGCTTGCGATTCGGCGGCTTGTTGGTCGATAAGCGCCTTGCCGGCGACAAGTGTGAGGAGGGAGAGCGTGCCGAGGGCACAAAACTGTGAAGGAGAAAGAGAAAAGAGAGAAAGTGTGAAAGAGATCGTTATATGAGCACGAAAAAATAATAATGAAAATTTTTTAGTAAAAAATTGACGCAATATATGTATGTAGTT